AAAATGATCCAGATTTTCAAAAAATATGTACCAAAACTAAAAACCCACACTGATAATATTTATAGATTGTTTGTTTACTTTGAAATGCTTAATGAAATTAAAGGTTAGTTTGAATAACTGTGAAAATTTAGGTATTGTTACATGGAATGCAAATGGCTTATCCCTGAGATATAATGAACTCAGGGACTTTATACAGGAGTGCAGTCCCGATGTAATCTTCCTACAAGAAATCAAACTTGGCCTACACCAAAATTTCAGAGTGAGCAATTACGATTCGTACAGAAAAGATAGAGCAAGCACGAATAACAGAACCAGTGGTGGACTTATGATTTTAGTCAAGTGCTCCATCTCTCACTACGATAGTTATGTTTGACAGGTATCACCGCGATATCGCGTGGAGCGAGACGTTTCCACCTCAGTCAGATGGAGCCACATGGGCACATAACGTAGCAAGGTCATAACAGATGAGATACAGGCTATTGAAGTAGCAGGGGGTGACTTAGGACATGGAAGGAGACACGAGACCAATGGAGAGGCATAGCAGGACAGAGCGAAGCATATCAGTAGGACGTAAGATCAATAACAAATAAATGCGTCATTATAGAGGTAAACGAGACAAACTAGTGAGAGAATACCTCTGAAAGTAAAATCAGTACATTTGAATGAGAAGGTGATAATTGTAATGTACAGCAAGTCAAAGATGTGTGTCATGTAGGGAAGTTGGAGTCTCAGGTGAGATGAACCGCAAAAGGACGATATCTTTTGTCTTCTTGAAGCACTTGGAGCTTAGAAAGATGATTACAGTCAAGGGCACTGCTGAAGAATTTTTCATTCGTGCGAATTAAGAACTCAACTCTTTTCATTTTAAGATCCTTGTGAAGCGTGTCGTTGCTGTCAAAGAAGTGGGCATCAGTAATGAGCCTGAGATATTTGTTTTGAACAATTGTAATTTCACAATGTCTTTCTGAGTGGCAGCTGCCCAGGCGGGAGAGGCGTATGGAAAATTGGCCTAATCATGGCCGTATAAATGCAAAGCTTTTTCTGTAAGCTAAGCTTCGAGAAGTTTCCTAAGAGTGATCTCGGACAGTTAATAGCAAACAAGACCTTTCTTCTAGCATTATTAATGTGTTCTGACCACGTCAACTTATTATCGTAGACTACACCTAGGTAGGTAGCATGGGTCACAAGAGGGATTTCGTCATTGAAGAGGAATACTTTTCTCTTAATTGGAGCATTTCTTCGAGTTTTACGCAGAACCAAAAGTTCATTCATTCACTGTCTTTATTGCCAGGATGTTGCTGTTTTAACGCTACGTTAATCTTTGTTTGAATCCAAAAGTTGCGACTTCTAAGTATTAATATCAATATGCCAACGAGAACACCAGTCTTCGAATGTAGGCATGTATTTCTGCAACTTATAGACTGCATGATTTGCATTACTCGATTTGACCGCTACCGCCGTATCATTGGTGTAGCAGCCAAGAAAATAATTTTGGTCTATTTCATCTTTGGAGAGATCCGTAACATAGTATAGATAGAGAATTAGACCTAATGTTGAACCCTGAGGGAGTCCTGCATGCAACAGTCTTTCGTCCGAAGTGTCATTTCCAATAGTAACATAGAAAACTCTGTAAGAGATAAAAAAGTACACAAGAAAGAACGAGTTCCCTGGTGAAGTTCAGTTCTGTTAACTTGAAGATCGGCCCTTCATGCCAGACGTGGTCAAAGGCTCAATATGAAAATACAGTTCCACAGATTTTGGCCATGGAGGCGTTAGCTATCACGATCATTCCACACACTCAACGACCAATCACTTTAGTCTCTACCTATCTCCCCGCCCACCGTACTAAAAAGGAAGTTTTCGCTGATTTAGAAGCACTTTCCAAACTCAACACAAGAATTATTTTAGGTGGAGATTTCAATGCACAACATGTAAATTGGAACTGCAGTACTAATGCTGAATATGGTTATATTATAAATATATTTGCCTTTAAGGCTAACTTTCAAATTGCAGCTCAAATTGCTAACATTGAATGATGCCAGCAAGCATTCAATGTTAACAAATAAACGTTGATTGAACCATATATGAATGAAATTCTAGCATTGAGCAAATTAAATTTGTATTATTTTCAACTTAAATTCTGCTGCTAAATTAATTCTTTGGATGTTGTGCCTCAACTTGATCAATTTCTATTACTTTAGCCCCCCCTTTTTTCGTCTAATTCTATCCCAAAATTATGTATGGCTCTGAAAAACCCTCCCCTTGCTCCTCCCCCACCATTGCCTGCCTATAGTTATTACTGCACCATGCCTATCTCTCCTCCAATTGCTTTAGCTTCTGCAGTCACCAGACCGTCCTACCTCTTCTACGCCCTGAGCAGCAGTCACTTCACTTTATGTGAAATTTTTGTATTGCATTTGATATTTAACTGTATAAAACTATTTACATTTTGACTGTTTAATGTATTGTATATTCTGTTCTTTAGACATTTGTATTTATATGCATGCATGTAATTTTGATGAATTAATTTGTATGTCATGTTTTATTTGTCATAACCTGTCCTTGTTCCTCCTTAGTGCAGCGCATGCATGCAGTTCAGCTTTACTTTCTCACCGCTCTGTCTGGTCTTTTTCCACTTGTTTGCTTTTTCACCTTATCTTGGCCTGGTATGCATAGTCACTCCCTTTCTTTCTCGCCTCTGACTTTTAATTTACCTGCTTGGACTCTACTGCTGTCATGTGACCTCTGGGCCTTTTATCATGAGCCGGAAACATCACACTTTGCGCGATATATCGGTAATACTTGTATGGATACTTGAGTCTAGCATCCGACAGGGCAAGAGAAACTACGCTCCGAAAGAGGGATTGAATTTGTCTCTTTTATGCGGATATCTGCAAGCCACTCCCTCAGCAAGATATGCCAATTCAGCATATGCCAAACAGCTATAATAACATCCACTATGAACTTTACTTTTACCTGTAACTTTGCAACTTTCTATAATTGCTCTTATCAGAGCACCTGAAATCTATGCATTCAAATCTTCCACAAACTCATGCTAGCAAAGAAAATGTTATGTACTGAAAAAACGTTTTCACTTGATATACACAGGGTAAGGCTTTGCCTAGGAACCTGGCTTGAGTAAAAACATTCCTGTGCTCTTTTCAACAATCTGCTTAACTTCCTGTAAGTTAAAGGCGCTTTATCTTCTTCGAAATCAGTGCTATCACAATCAGCTGGTGTTGTAAGATCATCTAATTTCTTCATTCGTTATTTCTAGATTATTATATTTTTTAACTTCTCCTTCTTCCATATCTGAAAATCCTTCGCTGCTAGTTGCTTTTGCAATTTGTATGATTTCTTTGGCTTCATTTTCAGTCAGTAGAAATCCTTTAAAATTGTTTGTAACTTCTAGCCAGATCTGATGCCAGCAAGCATTCAATGTTAATGAATAAACGTTTATTGAACCATATATGAATGAAATTCTAGCATTGAGCAAATTAAAGAGATACAATTAAAATAAAATCTATATGTGAAACCTCGTTTCGCAAATCTGCGGTCAGCAAGGATTTACTGTAAATGTATTTACTTTTGACGTAAAAATTGTTGCTTTCAAGCAAAGGATACAATTTTAGGCAATTTGTGTATGCTCCAATTACTTTGATTGCTTTCCAACAATAAAACAACACTTTTCAGAAGAGGAAGGGGTTAAAACAGGATAGACATTTATTGAAGAAATTATTCAGCAACACTTGAAAAGTTTGGGTGAAGCTTTTAATCAGTATTTTTCAAATGAATAATAGATTAAATATCAAAATGAATTTTGGATTAAACTCCATTTATGTCAGTGCGTGACCTTTGGTCATGTAAGCAGAAGAATCAAAATTTTTATTGAAATGGCATCTAGTTCATTTCTGTGAGAAAAATTTAAATTAGTACTGTTACAGAAATTCTGGTTCAGTTTAAAAGATGAATATTCTTAAGGGTCACAAAAGGCCGATTGAAACTTCTACCATTTACAGCTGCATCTTTTTGTGAAACAAGGTTTTCAGATGTAGTGTAGACAAAAAATAAATACTGCAACAGAGTTGATGTTGAACCTGACATGAGAATTCAACTTTTATCCATAAAGCCTAATTTTAAGTACATATGCTGCAGTAAAAAGCAGTGCCACTCAGCTGATGAAAATTTAAATTTAAAAGTCCTGTTTGAAAACATTATTTCAAGAGCTTGGAGGTTAATTCTGAAATTACCCTTTGAAGCAAATAAGTTTTATTTGAAATAATTGTCAGTTTTGTTGGAAATAATACATTAACAGAATGTTGCATTAAAACTATACTACTGAAGCAAACAAGGGGTTCCATTACAAAAGTGGATATTAAAAAAAATTCCACAGATCAAAAAGATTAAGAAACGCTTCACAACACTAAGTTTAGTACTGATGTCTGTGAAAGCCAACCTTTTCAGCAATTAATATGAAAACAGTGTAACTATTAAGTAAACGGAAAATGTAAAATTTGCAAAAATGCAACCTTTGTTTAGCTAGATTTTGAATAATACTCTACCAATTTTGAGGACAATCACACATGTCTGTCTTCTTCAGGAGCAAAAAAACTTATAGCTTTTGCTCTTGAAGAAAATTGAGCTGTATCTGACTGGCCCCCAAAATCGATAGTTTTATTCAAATTCACATAGAATTTTAGAATTTTGTTCGATATCTGCGAAAATAATTTTGCTCCTTTTTTTTTTTTGTGTGTGTGTGTGTGTGTGTGTGCTCCCAAATTTTAAATTAGAAATATGTTATAAGGTTATTCATTTTCTGTTTAAAATTTTCTTTTATTTAGTAAAAATGTAATTAAGATTGTAATATGATTGCATAAAATCATAAACTGCATGGAAAAATATTCCTTTTGTACAAGTCTTTCTATTAATAATTTTCTAGTAATAATCAAATGGCTCTATTTAAATTACTTATAAATTTTACATCCTTATCAATATTTCAGATGTTGATACTCCAGAACCTGATGAAAAGTCACTCATTACATATATCTCATCTATCTATGATGTCTTCCCAGAGCCACCGCCTTATCACCCTTTTGCTGATGATGTGAGAAAGCATTTTACGTCATTTCATACCTAAAATTTTCTTTACCTTGTAAATTCTTTACCTTGTATTTCACACTGGTATCATAGATAGAAAACATATCAAAAATGTTTTTCTGAATCCATATCTGCATTAAAGTGTCTTCAAACTGGGAACTTTAAATGTAGATTTCTTAGTTTTGTATATTTCATTTATTTAAAGCATTCAGTTTATTATAACTATTAAGGTAAATACTGAAATACTTTGAAATTTCTTGTGATTGTTATGAATAATACATTTCAAAAACTTTTTTCCTAAATCCATGGAAATTTATAATTATTTATTGATAAAATGTTTTATGAAATAATAGAATTTTAGAGTGAGAAAAAGAATATCAATCAAATAAAATAGAATAAATGTATTTAAGTTAGATTCAAATTCAGAATAGTATTTTTAAGACATTAATTCCTCTAAAATAAAATGTTGAGTAAATGTTTAATACTGCAAAATGAAGAGTTATTGTTTTAAAATTAAATTACGTGTTTTAATTCAAAAATAAAAATAAGCTTGCTTTAAAAATTAAAAATTGCTTTTCAGTATAACTTATTGTAGTGCTATGAAATAAAAAACAATAGTCAAATGAAAATTTTAAAGAGTATCAAAAACTTAGTGATCAGCTTTAATTTTTTTTTATAAAAAAAATTGCTTTATTATGGATATTGTGAGAGAATGCTGATAATTATGTGTATAAGTCATTTATTTTCAATTTAACAAGGGAAAACAATGTGGGATGCTTTAGAAAGCTCTCTCCTATTTTATTCACTAAAATATTTGCTAAATGTATTTTTGCATTAAAATTAACATAATTTTTAAGTGCTTTAAAATTAGCATTAGGCTTGCTGCAATAGTTATGTGCTTTGCAACTTGAAAAAATAAGTCCCTGTCCTCCACCATCCTTGTAGATTTAAGTGTCCTTCATTCTTACCCTTAGATGAGGGAAAAGGGTAGGAAATTATCTATATTTATAAAACAAAAGTTCTTTTTCTTAAAAAAAATAAATAAATAAAAATAAAATGACTAAAAAATTTATTGAATGAAATTTCATTCATAAAACAGTTTAACAAGAGACTGTTTTTGCTTATTTATTGAGATATTCATTTTGTTCTTTTGGCTTGTCGTAGTATAGTAGTTCATATGGTATTAGGATTTAAAAATTTTTTATAATTATATATCTCTATATATATATCTTTGTAAAGTATGCTTTAAAGTTTTTCATTATATGTTAGGAGTTGCTGGCAGGAAATAAATAATTTTTATGGTATTTTAATGGTAGTTTAAAAAAATCAGATAAATTTAAATTTTACATAGCTTCTATATTGAAGCTATCATTTTGTTTCCTCCTTTGAAATTGTTACTAATGTGAACTGCAGTTATTCAGTTTAGTTTCTATTTTCAATGTAGGAAAAGAATAGAAAAATTGAGGAATATAAAGATTTAGCAATAAATCTGCAGCGATGGATGCTTGAATTACTACAAGAAATCAAAAATCAAAAGATGTGCAATACTTTGATCGATCTAAAGGTTTGTAAAGACTAAATATAAAATTTCTATAATAGCATAAAAACATCTTCAGTCAATGTGTATAGTTGTTAATTAATCAGAAAAGCAAGAAATATAGTTATTGGTTTGAATTTTTAAAGCAAAATTTATATTAAGATATGACTGTTTTTTTAATATTACAGTGTAGTTTCCTCGATTTAATAGTGTCTTTTTCTTACATTTGAGGACATAATTATATCATCTGGAAAATATTTTCACTTAATGACAATTATTTGAAATTATTTATATTTTTCAGCTTTATATTTATATTTTTCAGTTTTACATATATTCTAATGTGAAAATGCATTTATGCAAAATATTGCATTCAGAACTCATTTGGTTTATGTCTTTATTATATATGTAGTATTTTGCTGTTGAAATTCTATCTTTAACACATTTTTTATAATAAACGTATAGAGTTTATTGTTGGAAACATCTAAATTCCGTTCCGATGAATTACCAAAGAAAAATAAAGACAAGCAAAGGTTATCTCATCTACATCGAGAAATACAGGTATCTTTGCTTCCTCATTTCTTACAGAAATTATTATAGTTGATTGGAAACTGCATTTCTGTCCTTGTTATGTAATACATTTTGTATTTGATGAAAGAGGTTTTCAAATATTGTTTTTATATTCAATTCTCAGTTAAACCCATTGCATTCTGTGTGAATTTGTTAATTTTTGTTCTGAAGTAATAATTAAAGTACTTAAGAAAATTCATGTGAAACAGTATTGTTAGCTTGTAAAAATACTGTGCTGCAACATTAGTTTTCCATTACCTTTAATATAAATTAATGATATTTTAGAAAATGAGTCGAGATACCGGCCGTGTGGAATTTTTAAAAGATTTACAACTAGAAGAGATTGAAAAAAACTGGAATCGTGTAACAGTAGCTTTGCAAGAAAGAGATCAAAAAATAAGGGATGAAATATGCAGGTAATTAATTACTTCTCTATTATGTTTTGCAGTTTTACGTTTCCCATAGCAGTAAAGTTTTCCCCATAGCATTGCATAGCAGATTTTTTTAAAATTCTTTCCATTGTGTTAAAGAATTTATCTTCACGCATTTTGTTGCTGTAAGCTGGATTGTATAGAATTTCTCAAAAGAAATTGCGTTTTCAGAGTCTCTTATCATATTTCTGGATTTTATCTAATAAATCTTAAATAGTTATCTGTTTATGTGTCTATTGAGTGATTTATGTTTCACCAGTAAATCCGTGTGAGCCGTAAGAGCTGTTACAACTTGTTAAACATTGAAATCAAACTTCCATTGCAAAAGTATTGGGAAATGTACTTTGTGCAAAGCACTTGCCATAGAATGAATTTGAATTGCAATGCATTGTCATGACATTATATTTATTTCAAAAACTGATTTTTCAAACTTGATTAGATAATTATGAGTAAGTTTATCTTTTCTTATTCCCATGAAAAAGATACATCTGTTTTGTTTATCACTTTATAAAACATTATTTTTATGGATGTTAAGATAACTTTGGACATCAAAGAAATTCTAACATTGAGAATTAGGATAATAAACTATGTATTTTGTGTAGATTACATTATTGCATCTTCTTTCATGATTATGCTTACCATAATGGTTCATGTTGATATGTAAAATTGCATATGTTGGTATGTAAAATTGAATTGTGTCTTTCAATATTATTGTAGGTTAGAGAAGCTGCAGAAAATAACAGAAAAGTTTAACAGAGAGTCGAAACTTTGTGATGGAAAATTAGATGACATTGAAAGGCGCATTAATGATGTAAGATCATCTTTTGTTTGCTATTTCAAAATAAATTTTCCCCCTTATATGGATTATTTTTGAAAAAAGCAACTTTTGGGGTTAAAAGTCTGAAATCAGGTCTACTATAATTACTTTCATTAACAGGTTAGATAATGACAAGATAGATAAGTACTTTCACTACTCATATTTTATGCGTAGATTGTGATTTGAAAGGGATCTATATGTTTATCTATTTGATTACTTGATAATTAACTTCCTAAATGATAAAAAGGGGATATTGTACATTCAGTGCTTCCTGTTTGCTATTTTATGTGGTTTCTTCTCTATTTCTCCAGGAAGAAAAGCGCATTCAGAGGCTTCATATAGTTGATGCTAAATATAATTGTGACCAGATCGAAAGTGAGTTTAAACATATTGATGACATACTGAAATCATTAAAAAAGGACATTACGATTCTGGAGGAGAAAAATTACCATCAAATTGCTGAAATGAAAATCAGGTATGATATCTGTAGCATCTTCTGAAACTTGTGTTTTTTCATGTGTTTTCTTAATAATAGCTCTTGGTTACGTGAAGTTTGGATATTTTTATTTTGCAAGGGTTATACAAAAAGGCAAATTATGTCACTGTGGTAGGAAATTAACTTGGACATTTAACATAACAGCTACTGCACAGAGTTATCTTAACTTGTCAGCTAATTATCATCCTTGAGAACTATTTAATGTAAATACAAAAACAAAGCAAATTAAAATCTTAAATAAAGTAGATAAGCCACTTCTGCTGGTTTTACTACTGAAATTGCAATACAAGCTGAAATGATGACTTGTTATAATAAAAGTATACAAGGTTGATTTACCTAAAGCTAAATGTTTATTCAAGCTTCTAGTTCAAAACTAAACATATGTTCAGATTTTGCCCTACAGTTAAACCCTTAAATCACTACCAACTCTGCAACTTCTATCTAGGGATATGGTTTTCCTCAGATTCAGCAGGAAATAGTTCTCAGAAAGACCAATAGTGATTCTACAAGTGCTCCATTAAACCAGCTTTAAGGTTAAACATCTATTTTGAAATTACGCTGCATGCATTTGTAAACTTCTGAGTAAGAACTGTGACATGAGCCAAGAGGAATAGGATAGAGTTCAGATTCAAAATCCCTTAATAAAACTTAGGAATACTTGTCACAAAAAGAAAAAAAATCAACCCCTTTTCTATTAGTTCACCTAGATTGGCCAAACTTTACATATTATTAGACTGATTCTCGTTCTGTACAATTATGTAATAATAATCTCCTTCATTACAAGTAAATAATTGATATGAAGTACAAACAGGATGTGATCATTGATTTCCAGACAACAAAAAGGTCTGACTGACATTCATGGAAAACTACAGGTGTTTACAAAGACAATACCATTGACAAGAGAAATGTGCAAAGATGGATAAAAGTGATTAAGGAAAAGTTTCACTAAAAAGAAATCATATCTGTGCAGTCAGAAACTGTAATCTTAAAAAGGTTACAAATTAATTCAGGTTGATAATCCATGATGTTCTACACGAGTAGATTATGATCACAGTGATGGAAAACTTAGGTTGTGGTTAGCATGTGCAAAGTGGGCTTCTAGAAAATTGGTTTCATTTGCTTGATCTGTTGGAAGCTTTCAAATCCAATAAAGATGCACTTTTTCCAGTTTTGGGTCAGAAGGCAAAACATGTTTCTTTACAATTCAGTCAACCAATTAATACAAGGAATGGCATTTACATCTCATCTAGAAAGCCTAAAAGGCTTAGGAGAGGAAGCAATCATCAGAGAAGTTCATGGTTATTATATTTTTTGTTGACAAAGGTGTCGTTCTTCTCAAGCAAGCAGTTTATTAACACTCCCCGAATGCTTCAAGAAGCCATTAGAAGAAGAGACCAAATACGAATCTGAATGACAGCCACACTCACCATGATTAAAGATGCCTTGATGCATCTTTAACAACTCATGTGATCAACAAATTTGTCTAGACAGTGATCTCTTGTCTCTTGTACAGACTGGATCTCACACTCTCGAAGTCCTGCTTGCTCAGGCCAATGAAGGATAATATATCCAGACAAATAGCAGCTGACATAAATGAATTTACTGCAAAGAAATGGGCAAAACAGTTCAGACTTGAATTTTGCCAGAGATGATTTGAGAGTTGGGTCCAGTGATTGCTGACATGCATTTCTTTAAATGTGTGGAATTATACTTTGCAGAGGAAGCATTCTTCAGGATTTAGGGTTTGAATGAGCTTTGTTAGTTAATAAAAGGTTAAGTTGACTTTTGTATTACTTTCAAAATGACCCTTCTGGAAACCAAATAGAAGTGGTGAGCAAGAATATTTCAAATTTTCTAAAAAATCTAAAGCCTGGTCATACAGCAAAATTGATCAAACTATATTTGAAAATTCAAAATATGTAGTCTGGCATTAACTCAAAAAATGAAAATATATAAATAGAAATAAGGTAATAAATATGAAAAAATGGTATCTTTTTGAGTAACATATTACCTGGGGAGGGGGGTGTAAAACCATGTGCTATTGACTTAATCAATACAATTTTTGTATTAAAATCTAGATAAGCTGTACAGCTTCTTTCTAATGCTCTTTTATTTTTGGAATCTATTCTGTTGATTATAATTGCTGATTATGATGTGTATCTTCCTACAGTAGTAGATAATTCCATCTTAAATTATGCAGTTTCTTTTAATCTGTTATCAGTTTTTCTTCTATGTGTGTGATTTGAATTAATAAAATAAACTTTTATGACAAAAATTAGCTATTTATATTAATGTTTTTTCTTCTGCATGTCTGGGACTTATCAGCAAATAAATAGTCTTGTATATATTTTTAAATTGTCTAATATTTTCCCTCATACTTTTATATGCTGTTATCTATTTATTTATTTATTGTGTTTATTTAGGTTGGAAAATATCCGAGAGAGAAGTACTTGTATAAAAAAACTCTTCCAATGTACTTTAGTGTTCCCATTAACTGAAAGATCAGAAAAGAGTGGTGATGAAAAGAAAGTAAAACAGCGTACTGCCTCAAATGATAAGGCAGAATATAATAAAACTTTGTCTCTAAAAGAACATTTTGATTGGATTGAACGCAAACAAGTTAGTTCTTACAATTATAACATTTTTATCTTTAAAATAATACCTTAAAATTATTGGCATGGCTTTATTTGATTTTTATTTTGTCCTTTTGTTTTTTAGAAACGTGTGGACCAAATAGATTTTGGGAAGGATTATCAAGCTATAAAGGCAAATCTTGACCAAATTAAAAATGAACAGAAATCAGTAGAATTATATAAAAAGAAAATTGCTTCCTTGAAGGTGAATTATCTTACAATATTTTCTTTTTACATTAAAAAAACCCATCATTTTAGTTATGATTATGCATTTTATTACAGACATTTAAAAATTCTGATAGAAAATATTTCAAATATATGTATTGTGATTAAATTAGTTATTGTAAGAAATATATGTATTATGATGCATATATTTAAAATTCTGATGGACAGTATTTTAAATATATGTATTGTGAATAAAGCATTGTGATTAAATGAATGTATTGCGAGAAATATATGTATTGTGATTAAAGTCATTAATTCCTTATGTATGTGTTACATTTAGCTTTATGTGGTGCTTGTTTCTAATATAAAAATATTTAATAAGGGTAACGTTCATACTAAATTTTATATGAAATGTAATACAATTGATCTGAGGTCAAGATCCAAGATCAAATGTCCGAAATCAAGACTGATCTAAAGTCCGGACATTAAAGACAACAACAAAAATTTTTCTTTTGGAATTTTTTTTTTTTTAATGCTTTACGAGTGTGCATTTGATTCCTTCCCCCGTAAGAAAACATGTGGAGAATCCTGATTCTTAATTTCATTTCAGCACTAAATAAAATACCTGGTTATTGAAGAAACAATCATTTTAGCATAAATTTGTGTGATCAATAATTTGGCTCAGTAGCTGCTTATCTGCTTAGCATACATCTCAAACCGAAACATTCTACACAGAAACATCATTGATTTTACAACTACTAATATTTTATACCCCTGACACCAACCCAGCGAATCATTATTTATTATATTTTGCTTTCATGACTTTGTTTATCAACACATGACAGCTTTAGTAATGACTCATGCAGCGATGTGTAAACAATTTTTTTATATTACTAATTTAATAACAAAGAGTAGGGAAACCTTTTTATGTTGACATTACGCTTAGTGATGATTACAGATTTAAATTACATGTGCTAAATGTTGACGAGGAACAATTAAAAAGAAATTCTTTCCACATGAAAAAAATCGATTTTGTTAGTGCCACTCATAGGCCAAAAGATTGCATTTAGTTCTATTTTGAATTAAGAATAACTGATTTTTCATTCACATAAACCCAGAACTGGCACCAGAGCTCGCATGGATGCACTGGGCACCAGAATTTAGGGAAGACAAATTTTTTGGAATTTAGAGAAGCACCGAGTAACCAAATTAAGGGATGACAATTTTTTTTAATTTAGGGAAAGCATTGGGACCCAAAATTAAGGGGCAGCAAAAATTTATAACTCAGGGGGTGCTTGGTAGCAGAATTTAGAATTGGACTTTTTACTGTGTAAGATGACTAGAATATGGAAATATCTGCAGTTGAGCCTATCTTTGATTTATATGATTCTGAATTTGCTTATGTAGTGTAGCTTCTGTATCAAAACATATATATTTTCTATTTTATTAATTTTTTGTATTGAAAATATTGTTTATTTTATTCAGTTCTCAGTTAAATTCATTGCATTCTGAGTGAATATGTTAATTTTTGTTCTGAAGTAATAATTAAAGTACTTATGAAAATTAATTCATGTTCATAATAAATTTATTTGCATTTTGTTGTTTTTTCAGTATTGAAAGAAGTATTTTTATCAGTTTTTGTATTGTGTAGTTTTTTTATCTGTAAGCTGTATAATTTCGTTGTTTTCATTTTGTTCCCCATGTACTTAGACAACTATAAAACGAAGCGATGCTGATAATAGCAGTGAAGAAGCAGAGAAACTGGAATCAAAATTTCAGTCTCTTGAAGTATGTTTATATTATTATTTATTTATATTTTAATACAGTAGTTTAATAAGGGCAATGATTATATTGAATTGTTCCTGATGTAATATTTTTCATGTGTGCTGAAAATTTTCTATTCATTTTTGCGTAAAGCATGCTTATGAATTACCAAACAATGATTTATACATCCAGCTTAAAGTAATTACACCATTAGAAGTAATATTTTCATATTACTTTAGTTACAGTAATGGTTTTCAAATACCCATTTCCAGTTTTGTGCATTCTCTTGACTTTTCTTCACTGGATAGTGTGTGCATAAAAATTCAGAAATAGCACTCTGCTGCTGAAACATTGAGAAATTTGAGAATTGTAGTTGAATTTTTCTCTCAGCTCATCTGACAAGCTTGATTTATTTGTAAATATTGTGTTCTTTAGAGCCTGGAGGAAAATGGCGATAGGAATAAAATCTTGTGGTTTAAGAATTTTGTGTTTTTAATTTCTGTGTGATGTTACCCAGATTACATCATCAAACACATAATATGGGACAGACAATGTAAAATGTAAAATCGGACCAAAAAAGCCGGTTGGTATATATTTTATGTAAAACTTCTTATCTGTTTCAGATATATTTTATACAGCTCCTTCTTTTCCAGGAAGGGGGGGAATTATTTCTCTAAAGAGAAAAAAAACTATATCAGTTACTTTTGAAAGCGATAGATTTGTAATGAAAATTTTATGCTGACCTAAATTTCTTTCTCAGATTTTACAGATAATGTGTTAGGTAATTATTTAGTTGCCCAATTACTTCTGCGCTACCATATATATTACATTTTATTGTTGCAAGTTTTTAAGCTTTATAACTTTCTTTATTGTACTTAAATTAAAAAAAAAAATACTAGTAAACCTTTTTAGATATTTTTCAGATGCAAACAAAATTTCATTATAATTGAATTGAGATTTGTGAACATTATTGAAAAAATAATATGCATTACAGAATCAGACATTTGTAAAGTGGATCACTATGAGACAAGGTACATTAATTTCTAGCCTTTACAGAACAGTTTACATGTGATCACTTGGACTTTTTTTCATTTATAAGTCTGATATTTCTGTACTGTTTAATGAAGTTATTTTTATCCCTTCCACTTTTTTCCTTCCCTCAGCTGTTGCTGAAATCTTTTATTTCATGTATCATATTGATTAGTTTTAAGGGAACTGGATAACTTTCTTATCTTTTTTGGCATACAAAAGTTTAAATTACTTAGTTGTGCTATTTATCAAAATGTCTGAAAAAGTACAGTTCTTATGTAATTTGAAATTTGTTTAATAGTTTTCATCAAAAGAAGTAATTTCTATTTGAGTTTACTTTTAAAGCAAATAAATATAGTTTGTAATAATTTTCTTCTTAATTTACTGGATTGAATTATTTTATAAAGGCGAAGCATACTAGGGCTGTGTATCTGTGGGGAGGGGTGGCTTTGCAGAATACTTTTTAATGGAAACTGGCCTATATTTATCACACTAGAAAAACCTCTTATAGTGACTCTGTTCAGTTGCCAGAAACAGAACTCAGGATGAACTACTAGTGTTAAAACTGAAATAAAAATGCCTGGTTGACACGTCAGAACTACAATTAAAGAAACAAAATAAAATTTAAATTACCGGAGCTTTTCCAGACAAACCATCTGCTGCATCAGTTGTATCTCAAGATTCAAGATCCAGCTGAAAAATATGGTCTGATGGGTCAACATAAAGTTTTTATCTCATTTTTAACTTAGTTTATATGTGTGTGTGGGCATTTGATTTCTAAATGCTATTCATCTGGCCATTTGCTGAGCTTTTTTAATTTATATGAAGGAATTATTAAGTACATTTTTTGGTAGGGTTTAACTTTGTGAATTTTGAAAATGTACTGATCTTTCATATGTGTCACATAACAAATAATCTTAACATATTCCTGAATGCAGAGGTTTGGATCACCTCCCACCCTTTTTAATCAGCACTATATTACACTCCACATTTCTACCCTTTTTAATTATTACATTAATGATTTTTAATTGATTGTTAAAGCAGTATTTATCCTTTCCAGAAACTATGTTTATAAAATTGTGCGATGTATTTACGTAAAAAATCATGCCCAGTAACTTCAGTAGCATGCTTTAAAACAACTTTTTCAGATATTATTTGAGATAAAAATATGAACATAAATATAAAAAATTCTGATAATGCAATAATGAACAGAATTTAATATAATAAATTCTGATCAGCCTTGCATATAAAAAAAAATCATGTGTTAAAATGTTTTGAATTGGAATGTGTTTCGATTTATTAACTGTTTGCATGTTGCAGTCTTTTGTAGCCCAGAAACTGCGAGATTCAGAAAGCCTCTTAGATTTCATTCAATCAGCTTCTAGAGAATTAAAATGGATGAAAGAAAGAGAGGAAGCAGAAGTTTCTAGAGATTGGAGTGCTAAAAATTTGAATCTTGTTGAATTAGAACATCACCAGGAGGTAATGATTGTGTATATAAGTAAATTACCGTAATTTTGCACGTATAGTCCGCACCATCGTATAGTCCGCAGACACGATTTTATATAAAAAAAAATTTAAAAATTGTCAGATAGTCCGCACCACCGGATAGTCCGCGGACTATACGTCCGAAATTACGTTTTTTAATACGGCAATATTCCCATGCTTTTTAACACATCCTTTTGTTTGCACAAATTTCTCACCGCTTTCTTGTCCACTTCAAAATAACGGAGTAAAATCCTAGTATACGGTGCAGCCTTGGCGCGACTTTGAAAATTATCGCCAACACCAAAAATGATCCAAACAACGTCTATATATATACTATACATGCATAGTATATATACTATATACATAGTATATACTATGTTTAACTATATATTTTCTTTGAATGACCCGTTAACTACTCATCGTATATGTCCCGTTTTCACTGCTCATCATAGAGTCGCCAAAAGTAGTCAAATCCCATGTGCACCGGATACTAGGATTAAACCAATAACGACCCGCTTCTCTATTTCCATCTTTTTCAGTTTTCTCAACTACCTCTCAGCAGTAATCTCCGGCGATGTTTCATCAACATTATCGAAGATGAAAGACAAAATACGAAAACAAAATACTGTGCAACGTGCTATCCTCGTGATAAGTGGTAATGAAATATGACCTTCGACCCCACTCACTCGGTGTTGCCATACTACGCTATAAGTAAACGAATCACGCTTTTTTTTTCGTACTCCAGGTACTTGCTACTATGGCTCCTAAAAACCCACAGCCAACTCTATAGTCAGTCGGCTGTGCTAAAAACCGAGCTGACGCATCAACTACTTTTCCACCCTCCCGGCAGTTGTGCTAAAGCATTGCGAAGGACACTTGGAATCTCGCGCTTTTTTTATATTTGATCATCGACAGTTCACGACAGCGTGTTTTTTAAATTTCAACAATTTTAACCGTGAACAACCAGCGTGTTATCCGCACTGGTGGATAGTCCGCAGCTTCAAAAATTCGCATTTTAAACACAGATAGTCCGCGGACTATACGCGCGAAATTACAGTAAGTGTTTTGTTCATGAATTTTTTTCTTATGCATAAAGTTTATGCAACTGTTCTTTTAGAATATGAATTTGTGTAGCAAAAAATTGCATGCAGCAGGGAAAATTGTAACTATTCGTAAATTTAACCTATGAATCTCTCTTAATAACACATAAAAAATACTATGGTACTGCACCTGTTATGGATGTACATCTTGAATCGCATAAAAGACGCACTGCTTGCCCCCTTCATGGCTAGAAGTTTTTTTTTTTGTTTTGTTTGTTTGTTTTGTTGTGTTGTTTGCATTAACCCTTGATCCTATTATTGAGAGCATAGACTGGAGTGATGATATAACCAATTGTGTTTTATTCTATTTTTCTCATTTAGCATCTCTACCCTTTCTGAGCACAGTGGGAGGCCTAAGAAAGTATCTGTTTACAGAAGATTCTAAGTGATTCTAAGGCCTCTCAGCTGCATACTGACACATTGATTATGGCGCTTTACTATCTGCAATTCAGAAATTGGTAACCTGTATCTTGTGGATATGCTGTGCCCCAAAATACCTCCGCAAGTATCACAAAGCATGGCAAAGCAGTGTGTGCATTCATTTCATTATATGTCTCTCTTGGCACTGGAAATATCACGCCTCTCACTTCTTTACTGAAATAAAATGAGGAATTCATTGACTTGGGGCTGTATTGTATTCAGCTGTGAATCCTAAATTTTACTTTATTCAGATGACCAGAGAATTCATGTGTGGAGGAAGTCTGGTTAATGTTTTTCACCTTAGGTCATTAAGGAGTGGTGTACATCTGTCACGCTTGATGTTACCATCTGATGAGCCATTTCCTATGACAAGTGATCATCTCTAGTGATCCTTCACACCACTTATATACTTACTTATGTACAACCAACAATATATAAGCTATGTCACTGATATCTTTGGACATAGTGTGATGTTAATGCTCTCATGTGTGTTGGAACCCATCTTTGATCTTGACCATGAAAGCCAGTAATTCCATCATAAAAGTATTTCTTAATGAATAAATATTTGGAATAAACTCCCTTTTTATTTTATCGAAAAGGCGAAATCATCTGCTTAATACATATTTTTAAATTAACAGCCTTAATCACATTTAAGCATTAAGCATCTTAGATTATTTACCTGTTCAGGTAAGGTAGCATCAGTTAGTTTTACTGTCATATTTCCTCTGTTATCTTGTTCTGTGTTATTCAGATTCTCTTTATTCAGATGACCAGAGAATTCATGTGTGGAGGAAGTCTGGTTAATGTTTTTCACCTTAGGTCATTAAGGAGTGGTGTACATCTGTCACGCTTGATGTTACCATCTGATGAGCCATTTCCTATGACAAGTGATCATCTCTAGTGATCCTTCACACCACTTATATACTTACTTATGTACAACCAACAATATATAAGCTATGTCACTGATATCTTTGGACATAGTGTGATGTTAATGCTCTCATGTGTGTTGGAACCCATCTTTGATCTTGACCATGAAAGCCAGTAATTCCATCATAAAAAAGTATTCTTAATGAATAAATATTTGGAATAAACTCCCTTTTTATTTTAATCGAAAAGGCGAAATCATCTGCTTAATACATATTTTTAAATTAACAGCCCTTAATCACATTTAAGCATTAAGCATCTTAGATTATTTACCTGTTCAGGTAAGGTAGCATGAGTTAGTTTTACTGTCATATTTCCTCTGTTATCTTGTTCTGTGTTATGTTAATTGTGTATTAATAATTATATTATAATTCTGTATTAATAATGTCAATGAAAATTTTTTTATAGATTCTTAAATTCATTAAAGGAGCAATGCACTATATATATGATATGATCATAAATGCAAATGCATGCATAAATCATGAATGATTATAAGGAGTTGTTTTCTTTCTTCTTTTTAAGACACTGACTAATGATTTAGAAAAGAGAGAAATTCAGTTTAATGCAGTTCAAAGCCGGGGAGAAAGCCTTTTATTGCAGAAACATCCTGCTGCAAAATGCATTGAGGTATGTTTGTAAATATTTGTAAAGTAACTTAAGGTGCTTTTAATAATTATAAATATTAAATTTTCTTCTGGTGTGATGTTATTTTTTTAAATGTATACTGTTGTTTACAGTACTTTTATGAACTTAATTTTTTATTATAGAAAAATAAGTTCTGCTTGCTGATTATAACTAGATTGCTGAAAATGCATCATTTTAATTTATCATCATGTATACAGAGGTTGTTCGCACGTTTTTTAGACGATTTTTCATTGTATTTACAGAAATATTTTAAGTAACATTTTTGTGTTTTAATGAGCTAGTGCATATCTTTCTTCACCATAATTTCCAAGACAAGCCATTTATAGAAGCAGAGGAAGTATTTTATCCCATTCCTCTTGAACAGCTTTCCAAAGTACAAGGAGGGCTGCAAGTCGACATTTGGACAATCCTCTTTTTAAAAGCTTATAAGTGCAAGAATTCATGGGAGATACATCAGTAGATTTAGTAGGGATAAGAAAAGTGGATGTTCTTGATACCTATTTTTTGTTCCATTTTTTCCAGGAAATTAACAGCAGATTTTGACGTGCGGCTGCTTGCTTTGTCTCGATGTAGTTCAACTGATTAATGGCACTGTGGGTAAAGAGAAGTTATCTCATATTTGAGAAATGGCTATAAAATATGTTCCTGATAATATGTGAAGTTGATCTTAACATTTTTCTCCAGTTTCTTTACTTTTAATTTGCCGTTATATGAAAAACCAGCAACAATTACTACTTGAAAAACTTTCTTTTGCTTCTCTGAACCATGTTTTAAGATATTTTTCTTCTCTTTGGTGATAATAAATGGATCTCTTTTTATTGCTGTCATTTAAGTACACCCAAAATTCATCTGTTATGACAACATTTTCACATTTTTATCCAGATAAATGTTTCTCATAAAGAATTCTTTATGCGTTTCACGCGTTCTGCATTCGGGGATATGTCGTTCAGAAAGATGATGCACATTGTTTTTTTTCACCTTTTTAAGGTTCAAATCAGCATTAATCACTATGTTTACAGTTGACATTGAGAATTTTAATTACTTTGCAACTGTCCTTTGAACTAACAGATTTTCCTTGAACATTTAAAATTTTATCTTTGTAACATTTGAAACATTCTGTTTTTTTCCTTGGATATATACTTTGGACAGTTTTTCCATTTGAAACCAAACTTAAACCATTTGTTTCTTTCTTTCTTTTTGACAGTATTATCTATTGTAGCTGTATATATTGAAAAACCATGCCTTTCACGGCGTTTTTTAATAACTAGATGCAAATAATTTTCTTTTGAAAGATCATAAATGTAGCCTTCCATCCTGCATGAAAACAAAACTGTCTAGCAGATGATAATTCGTACTTTCAAAAATAAAGTTGCAGTTAAATTTCAAGTAGCCTGTTCTTTTTATAGCAAAGCAAAATCTTCTAAAAATGTGCAAATAGCCTCTGCACATGGTGATTTAAAAATTCTCAAATAAAGAAGAAGTTATAAGACATGCTGAAAGGATTTTTCTGCATACTTTGCATGACTGTAACTCAAGAAAGCTGTCTTCCATTATAGACATATTAGCACTAATTTACTCACTCATAATTAATTCTATCTTGGATATCAGAAAAAGTTACAAATCAGGAGAAAGCGCATATGTATTTCATTCACAGAACTGCAAATAGAAATGTGACAAAATACCAAAAGGCTGTATTGCAATGCCTTTCTACAAGGCAATCACAGATCTTAACAACTTTGAGCAACTGCAAACATGTGTGTGAAATGAGCTTCTTTGCCACCACTTTGTAGGATATAGAATGTTGAAGCAGTGTGAAAACACTACATTTTACTAAACAAATTTCATGTAAGTTTAGATAGAGATTGATCTGAATCTAATTCTTAAGGAACTTCTCATGCAGGGTAACAATCGGGGCTACAATCAAACATGGCTTATTGTTAGGAATATATTTAATACAGCCAAATTGCACATGTCTCAATTAATAGACTTAATTTAGCCCTCATACAAATAGAATGCTAGATTCTAAACATATCTTTGTTAGTCAACTGGATGGGAGAAATTTGGCATTTAAAAAGAAAAAATTTGACATTCTAATGCCAGATGAGGAAAAGGACTTGAATAGCATGAAATGTTAGTCTTTAATTCTTGGTGGCAAAACTTTTTAGAATAGGTCAAACGTAGAATGGGAAATATAGAATTGTCCCATTTTTTCGAGGGGAGGGGGCACTTGGTACATAAGAAAGTAAAAGGGCCTGAAAAGTTAAAATGTAAAATGTTGAACATTTCATGCATGAATGCAAGGAAGTAAAATAGTTTAAAGTAAAATGTATATTTTGCAAAAGTTAATAAATATTAGTTGTTGCATGTATTCAAATGCACTCTTTGGTATATTAATTAATTATCTGCAGAAAAAAAACATTAATAAATACATTTTTCTTTAATGAGTAAAAGCTAATACATGGTAATTACTTAATAAGAACTTACTTACAACTTTTGTAATTTATTCAAAGTTATAATAAATTTACATATACTATTTGGTTTTTGTCATTGTGTCTGAGCAAATGCATTAATAATTATAAAAAAATATATTTTTTGTTTTTTTATTTGAGCAAATATGCATTTGTATCTTACATATTTTTGATATGGCTGCAGTTTTGTACTTAAAACTGTGTTAACATTTTAGGAGTATCTTGCAAATATACAGAATTTATGGTCATGGTTATTACAGTTAACCCTATGTTTAGAAATCCATTTAAGTTATGCTCAGATGTATCATCAAGTGAGTACTTATTTATTTCAAAATCATGTTTTTAAAATATACGAGTTCAATCTCTACATATTTAGTAAATTGTGAACATTATCCCTTCAAAAAGTAATGTACATCCTTGAATATGATATATTATTTAATCATGAATTTTAGTTAATTCTAATCTAAATAATAAATTTGCGATTTTGTAATTAGTCTGCTTAGATTATCTCAATTATACACTAAAGGCTCCACTATTTGGAAAGCTCAGGAAATGCTGAATGTCGGATATGTCAAAATGCTGTATAGTAGAGTATACAAAAAGTGCAGTTCATGGTGGGAAAGCAAAATAAATGGGAAAAGAAATTTTTGGTCTAAAATAAAAAATAAAAAATAAAAAAATAAATAAATTTTAAAAAGTTGGATTTACATTTCAGACCTAAAGAAAGAGGCATTTTCATAGGTTTTCTTTAAACACATGAAAGTAAAATATCTAATTTGACTATGGAATGCATTGACCATGAAATTTGGCAGAGATCCTGCCAAACTTCTGCCAGTCATTCTGACAGAGGTTTGAAAAAAAAAAAAAAAAAAAAAAATATTGCCCTTTATTTAATAAGTTAACCAAGAGATACAATTTACATATGTAGACTATAAAAATATAAAACACTTGTTGTAATGTATATAATGTAGTGAGGATCCTGTAAGTTTAATAATACTTTACTGCATGCTGCTCTGTTTATTACAGGTCCCAGAATTTAATTTTTTTTTTTTTTTTCATTTTTTTTCTTCAAAAACTGAAGTGGCTTGTTGAGAATTCATCATGTATGCATAAAAACAAAGTTTGTGTGACTGTATTGTGACGTCATCTTTATCCATAACTTGTGCTAAATCGCAATGTTTGGCTGAAGTTTTTCTTTATTGCAAGTTGTCCTGTATGTGCTTTGTGATGGTTTGACAAGTCTCATTGCTTAATTTTTCATTTTAAAAAACTCTTTAAAGTTTTAAAATTTTCTGATTAGTTGAATGCTGAATAGTGGGGCTTTTACTGTATATAGTTATTACCTATTTTTCCTTCTGTTTGCCATATTCTTTTAAAGAACTGAAATTTCAGTTTATTATATAGAGTAGCTACAAGTAATGTTTTATATAAATTATTATTATTATATTAATTGCAGTATTTTAAAGAAGCACATGAGTGTGAACAGTGGCTGAAAAAAAATGAGGACAAACTGAATACCACTTTTAGTAGGAATGTTTCTTCAATAGATGAAGGTGAACGATACCTAAAGCAAATGGAAGACTTAAGAGATGATCTCACTAGGTATAATGATTTAATAAATGGTCTTGAACAACGCAGTCATGAAATAGTTCCTTTAAAATCAAGGAAAATCCAGTCTGGTAAAGCTTTGTCAGTCATAGCCATTTGCAATTACAAGAACCCAAATGTAAGTTTCTGAATAACTGTTATTACGAAAAATATTAGTTTTTAGTAGTTGTTTTTCCCCCACTCCTGTGTAATCTGTGTATTATTGTATTTGGTGTCAAAATTTTGATTTTATTAATTAAGAAATTTCATTAATATATAATTATTTAATAAACCAAAATAATAAGGAAAAACTGGTTGCTGTTCAGTTTAACTGGTTTCTTCTACTAAATTATGAACTTAACCTATTTTAAGAGATTGGCTAAAGGAACAGTTGTACATCTAAGCTCCTTTAATTCTTCTGACCGACTTTGGTGTGTGTAAGAGAAATCAAATTTAATTTTTTAACCTGTCAGCTCATACACTGGGTAGACATCTATTCCAGTTATTTGATTTATCATCAGATGCAAGGCTTTTCTGTGTGCCTTTCAGTGTTGAGTAAATGAAGGATTGCTAAATTTTCTTTGCTGAACAATGAATGATTCCTTGGTTTATTTATTGATGTTGAAACAAACAGAGAATTTGACAACTGAGATTCAGCTGAACTATTTGTAATTGCACATAAACTTGAAAATCATCTAGAAATTCATATTGTGTGGCAAGAAAATTTTGTTACTAAGCACTAATTTAAATCTAAATTTGGTGTGTGTAAGAGCACTAATTTGTCCTAATGAGCTTCACCCAAATGAATGCATTTTAATTCAAATATGAATCAAAGAGCTTTTCTAAAAGTGATGTCTTTAAAGCTCATTAAAACATCTCATTGTATTTTCAGCTGCAGTGCTACTTTAGAAAAATTTATATATCAGATTAAAACAATTAGTTAGCACAACTGTATTTTGGCCTAAAATTATAATAAGAAAACATGAAAAACATAATTTTAATTCCCTTAATCTCATTCTTCATTAGAAAATTCTCCCGTTAACTTAACATTTAATTCTTTTACCTATTGTGCCATGTTTTATTTCAAAATTTAATGCTTAGTTATTAATTGCTGGACTGTTTCGAAAAATGTATAAGCTAATTGAGTTGTTTTATTCTAAGCCTATAGTATTCATTACTATACTAAGCCTATAGTATAGTAATGAATTGCTTAATTCTAAGCCTAGTGTATAACTACATTACACATCTGGCCTTTTCTTTTTGATAAATATATGAAAATTCTTGGTAATATTATAAGAGGTGTCAAACTTTTATAAAGTCCATTAGGTTAGCGTCTCTGACTAGCGTTTCCCTGTACAATATGTAGCCAGTCTTCATTTTCCATTGGTAGATAAAGATATGAAATTTATGTCAGAGAATGTGAAGTAATGCATACGTGTCATATTTTATAGGTCCATTATTATTGTGTTCTTTAATAAAAAATACTATAGGTTTATTTGTTATGCTTCACTATGTCGTATGTGCTGTGAATGCATATTCATCAAAAAATTTTGCATGCAAAATGATTTACAAACATCAGTCTTATGCATACTCTGTTCAAAATAATAAATATATTTCAAGAAAAAACATCTTATAGCATTGTTTACTATCAAAGGAAAAACCTCAATGCACTGGTCTTCTTTTGTGTAAGTCACATCATCTGAAAATTATTATATACAGTCAAAAGTCTTTAATACGGATGTCTGTAATCCAGAATTATCTATTATCCGGACCTAAAAGCTACACACTTTCTGCGCATGCGTCAACGCATTAATGCTTTAACGCATGCACATAATACCTTTACGCATGCGAATACGCATCTGCGCATGCACATTGTACGTTTACGCCTGCGTGTTTAATGTATAACGGACGGTATAAGCTAAGCTAAAATTATCTAATTATCTATTTCAGTTAATGTTGCAGATTGCGTTGTTCCTTAATCTTCGAATTGGATTCAGCTTATTATTTTTTGCAGACTGTTAGAGCAATTTTATAAAAGTAGGCTTGAACTTTCAATTATGTCACAAAGAATTTCCGATTCTGGAGCTGCCAAAGGATCTACAAAGTGAAAGCATGTTTCGGTGTCCATCAAACAAAAAGTGGAATTGCTGCAAAAAATGGATAAAGGCATATCCTTTGATTCTCTAACCATTCTGATATACATTTATCAATTTGATGCTGCCCTGCAACGGGGGGGGGGGGCGGCGTGCAGTGAACTAGAAGTTGATCTGTCAGCACTATCCTTATCTTCAGAGCGGATGTTTTTATTTTATTCGGCTTATAATTCCTTACTAAATGTAGTATTTCATCTCGATATACTCTGTCTTTGATATGATTTAAATAAAATTCCTCCTCATTTTAAATATCACGAATACAAATCAAATAGTTTTCTGGTTGCAATTTTCTAATTTCGACTATGCGTAATGTATGCTTTACGCATGTGCACATTGAAAGAAATGTTTAATAAAGTAAACAAATAAATACTAAGCTTTCTTTTTTGTAAATTTTGATACCCTTTAGATGATAATTGCTCTTTATTTCATAAATTACAGTTTCATATTTTTGATTTTATAATTTCTGCATGCCATCGTACCAGATTTAAACTGATGATCTATAATCCAGAAAAACCGATAATCCAGAATCGCCGAAATCCCGACGAGTCCAGATTAAAGACTTTTGACTGTATATAACAATTTTAACAATTTTCAATATATAGTCATGAAAAATTTTACTGCAGACTTTTCTTTTTTTAAATATTATTCTTAAGACATATATGCCCAATAAATTTCTGTTAAATTTTTAGCTTCCTATATAAAAATATCAGTTATTCATATGTCTGTAAATTTTTTGTATGCAGTAGGGACTTAATGTTTATCTTATTGAGTAACTGAACATTTTGCTTTACAAGAACCATAAAAAAGTAAGATTTTGTGTTCATGGATTTTTCTCATTCCCTGTACTGAAACAATTTAAACAATTCTCTATCCTAATTTTAGCATCAATATTTAAGGAAATAAAGTTTGTGGCTTCCTTTTATAAACACCTTGTATAATAGTGGATGTTTGAGGTTTTGTTCTCTAGCTGTTCTCTGTTGGTTACAAATATTCATATTGTTCTATAATGTTCTGAATTCCCCCCCCTGCAGTGGTGGGCACTTGCCTATAATGGCATTGACCACTCTCAAGGCCAGAAGTGGTAGCCATTTTATTGTAGAGGCATCTAATATGTGGCCACTGCTACCACCTATGAAGGGACAGACAATTTACATCCAAGCCTTCTCAGGGATTCAAACCCGGTCTCTTCGGTATTGCAGTCAGGCTCCCCTAACCACTATACCGTCTGGGCAGCATTTTCTGAATTTTACCAAATGAGTTTTATTTTTAATTTTATGAATATTGTATTTAGTTTAATCATTCTTTTAAAATATTCAGCTCATGATATATTTTGAACTTTTTTTACATTTTTGTGGCAGTCATATATTGGGAAAATCCATTCCTGTTCCATTGTAACCTGATGAAATTCTTTTGTGAGAGATTAATATATGTAAGCTTCATTTAATACTGTGTAGTTGCATTGAACTATAAAGAATCAGCTTTATAGACAAACTTTATTAACATTCTAAACATGAAATATTCTTTAATGAAAAATTGCCTGTAGCACAGTGCGGCTAAGAACGCTATTCTACCAAAATTAAACATGAACAACTGTTGCCATTCACAAAAACTCAATAATAAAATATGACATGTTGCCAGTAACAAGATTGTTGTATAAATGATAACATAAAATCAAATACTGAGAAAATAAATAAAGAAAAAGAAAAAAAGAAATGCAAATATTAAATATACATCCAAACATTAACTCCCACCCTTGCCATTGCGTTAACAATAGATCATTCCCAATGCAATGGCAAAAGTAGTTACTTCCTCAAATGTTAACTTAGTTTCTCCTATCATTCTTTTCAAATGAAATTTTATGGACTTGATCCCTGACTTCCACAAACCACTGAAGTGGGCTCTAAATATGGTTTCCATTCCATATTTATAGCCAAATAATAATCAATTCATTGCTGTTAAGTGATAGTAGCAGAGTGTGCAATTCGGACAATTTTCTTTTTGCCCCAACAAAGTTTGTACCATTATCTGAAAATAAGTATTGGGGCGTACCCCACCTGGGTACAAATTGCTTAAGAGCAGCAATGAAAGAATCTACAATTAAGTTGCTAACTTCCTCAATATGGTTAGCTTTGGTAGCTAGACATACAGCATTTTCAAGGCAACAATCTGTGTAACTGAGATGTAACCTTTGTAGTTGAGTAACCAACTGAGGTGCTCAATTATTATATGATAATTTGTACTGTGTCGCACTAAATGTTAACTACTGAATTTGAATTGTAATAAAACATATTTTAATTGCGAATACTTGAGATATGGCTGAAGATGATACCGATTTTTAAATGTAAAAGTTGTTTCTGAGCTTAGGAAAAAGAGAATAATGTTTTTAATAATAGTATATAACACTGCTGTAGAAAATTGATGTCAAAATGGGAAAAAAAAAAAAAAAAAAAAAAAAAAAACTTAAATGTCTGTAGTAATCATTTCTTTGAATTATTTTATCATTAATTTAATGCTATTAAATTCTGCCTTGGAGTGTTTTTCATTGTATGTAATTAATTCCAATGTATGGAGTTAACATATTTCTTTACATATGCAGATTGCTGTATCCAAAGATGAGAAATGTACGGTCAAAGATACATCTCATAAAGTCATGTGGAAGGTCTGTACTTTTCTTTAAACAGTAAAATATTTCCATTGAATGCTATTAACTTGTTCTCATGTTTTTGAATATTCTCAAAATATATGTTTATCTAACTTTTTTTAGATGTATGGTTAACTGTTTATGTAATAAGCTATGAACTTTTTCCTTAGATTATAACATCATCAGGAGTTGAGGGTATAGTTCCTGGAGTATGTTTCTTAATACCCCCTCCTAACCCTGAAGCTATTGAGCTGGGACAAAGGTATAATTTTATTTCTTACCTTAAAGTGACTTAATGTAATTTATGATCTTACTTTTAAAAAAATGCCCTTAATTCTGATTTTTTAACTTTTAGCCTGAAGAAAAAATATGATGATGTATTAAGTTTATGGAAACTTAAACAAAGAAAACTTCGTCAGAATCTGATTCTTGCTACTATGAAAGTTGTGAAGACATGGGATATATCGCATGTAAGCAATTTGAATACTCCACAGTTAAATGTATATACATTTAGGGGAAAGAATTGTATTTTGTAAATTATGATAAGAATATTTTTAAGCATTATAGGTACAGAAGTAATTTTCTTTATAATATTTATTATTCTAACATAGTTTCGAAGCATGGATGTTGGTCAGAGGGAATCCATAATGCGTGCTCTCAATACAGATGCTCAGAAGCTTATTAGTGAAGGCTCAGATTCTGAACCAGCACTTGTGAAATTAAAGCAAGAAATGGAACAGTGCAATAACTTGTTCAATACACTGCTAAAGAAAATAAATGAAGAAGAGAGTAAGTATTTTCTGAAAGAAAATGTATCAAGTGTGTGTAATAGTTTTTATCACTTTATTAATGAGGATGATAAGAATAAATTGCATATAATTTGTTTGGTATTATGTATTTTCACATATAAATATATTTTAAATGTAATAATCATTTTGTTTATTTGTAGCTGAAAAATCACCTAAGACATCTGGACGAAAAATATCAGATACACTTCTTGGACTTCAAAATGTATTAAATGAAAAGGAAAAATTTATGAAAAACAAATTACATGCTCCTATAATGTGGGATTTGGATACATTAGAAAATTTAGTTATTCAACACAAAGTTAGTTAAATTTATATATGCATGTGTATGTTGTAAATTTCAACATTTTATGTTGTGATATCTGTTATAAAATACTTTATTTTGTATGCTTATTTCCAGGATTTTGAAATTGGTTTGAGGGCATTAGAAAGTCAAATTTCTGAAGTTGCTCAAGCATTCAAAAGCATGAGCCGAAAGACTACAGCTTTGCAGATGAAGTATGATACTCTTATTCAAACATGGGACCGCATATGGGAATCATCTAATGCTTATATAGAGAAGTAAGAAATTTTAGACTTATAAATACAGTGCTAAATTAAATATTTTATGATGTTGTGTATGCATAAATCATGCTTTGTATTAAATCATTTGCAGTATAATAGTTTAATATTTGGAGTTAGTGTTGTTAAATAAATTCAAATCTTTAGTTATAATTCTGATTTAAATTGTGTCTGACATTTATAGATATTGTGCCATTTATATAAACATTATGCACAATATGAAGATGAAAGGCCAAGATGCTAAATATGCTTTGTATTGCCATTAATGATCAGACTACATCTAAAAGAAAAGTACTATTGCCTGTACCCACTAATGCATGTCTGGAGCCTATAAAAAGTCTGTGGGAACTTGGTGTAAATGTATGCTTGCTGCAGTTATCGTAAGGGACATGCAATGAAATCAAAGTGGGGCTGAAAGGTGTATAATTGTCAGTACCTCCCAATCTGATCATTCAATCCATGAGGTTTTTGCCAATTTAAAGATATCTCATGCAAAGAGTAATATAGTAGCGAAATGAAAATCAGAGGGAGTTATAACACTCCAGTCCTGACCAGGAAAGTAGAAAATTTGACCGATAGGTTCAGCTGATATCTCTGACATGTTGCAAAATGATATCAGACATAACAGACAGCTGGCTGGTATCTTGATTTGACACCAGTATTCTTACAGCTCATTGAGACATATTTTAGCACACAAATCAAAGGTGATGAATTCAGCGACGATGCACAAGTAGTCTGGGGACTATAAAACAATGGTAGATCATCATCTGCTATAAAAAGTCATATTACATGTGATTCTGATGGCTGTGCATGGACTTGACAAGTGCCAACTAAGCATTATTTACCAGAATAGGTTGTTCCTTTTTATGAAATTTGGTAGAGAAAGAATTAAGATGTGAGCTTGGTTTTGGTCCATGATTTTATGCCATAAAGGCCCTAAATACTGAAGCATGTGAGACATTATAGAAGAATTATATTATTTTGAACATAACAACTCATCCATTTGCGAAGCCACAACTGTGCTGTTTCAGGAAACTTGAGTGAATGACAACTGGCCAGCCCAAAGCTCTGACATCAACCCAATCAAGCATTTGTGGGATTAGCATGGTTGATCACCAGATCAGGGTGTCTCAAAACTGCCATATAACTGTTTGTCATTTTTCTGGAGGAAGAAGTGATGAAAGTACCTGCAGACAGCTATTGAAACTTAATGGAAAGTCTTCTTCAAGGTGTAGAGGCTGCGATAGTGACAATTGACAGTCATCCTGACCAAATGTTAGCTCCTGTTAAGCAATTCCCTATGGTTATCTGGTCATTAATGATGATGGATTGTAAGGCTGTATTGGTGTAAAAGTTTTATCTAGATCTTATCAGTAGTACCTTCTCGCTGGTATTAAAGTATTTAAGTACATAAATGTAAAAATTTTATGTTGGTAAAATATCATAAAAATATTGTGGGTATGTGTGTCAGTGTGTATAATTTTGTGATGAAAGAGTTACTTTCTGTATTCTTGCTCAGCTTAACTTTCTAAATTCTAAATTCTAACTGTAAAATTCTACTTCCTAAACTTTCTAAATTCTTACTGAGATACTTACTATTTGATAATTATGAGAATTGGAAAATAAGACTGATTAACAAAAAATAAATAAAGACTGTGAAACATAATACTCAAACTTAAGGCAGGTTAAAACAAAACAAAAAATATATATGTTTAAATTGCATTATGTGCAGTAAAATCTTGATGTTATACAAGAATTAGAATCATAATCACCTGAGATAATTGAAAACTTAGGTAATAGAGACTAAATTTTAAATCATGTCTTATCTTTCAACAAGATTTTCTGAAATTATTCATTTGGAGGTCTAAAAATAAGTGGCAAGTACTACTATTAACATTTCAAGAAACTCTTTTTCTAGGTGTTTCTTTCAATTAAATGATTTCATTTTCTAACCGAAATGTACTCAAGATTTCATTTTGTGGCAGAAAAATTTATGAAAAAATTGGAATTTAAACAACTCATTCAAAATTTATGTAAATTATGGCGAGTTATATGCATTTTTAAAAGCCCCCCTTTTTTTTAGTTCGTTAGCCATTTTTAAGTTTTGTCATGATAGTCCTGTAACACTCTCAGCTGCCATATGATGACACCAGATTTTGATTAATAACAGAGCTACAGAAGCATTAGGGTTTTGCTTTAAGAGGCTTTACTGCCCACTAATAGCTGAGTGGTAAAATTATTTAACATTGGTAATTCAACCTGGATTAAAATCCCAATAAACAAACTGGCTGCTTGGGGGTTTTCATGGTTTTTCCCATACATAACATGAATATGAATAGGTTTCTTTGAAAAAGTCCTCCATTAAAGCACTATTTCCTAGTATGCTTTGCCATAATCATTTTACAATCACATAGTACTGTAAGTAGCTGCTAATTATCGAGGGCAGCATGATGTAGGACTTTTCTCAGAATCTGTTTCATCGTTTGAACTAAGTGGTTCCACCTATGGCCCACCAGAGCATGGAAGAAGGATTAAGCTCCCGCTGAATTCTTTGCTCCGTGGCCTTTGTGCAAAGACTTTCCCAATCAAGTGATGTAGAAGGCTACTTGCCTCTTAAAAAAAATTGCTGCCATTATCCGAGTATATTGTAAATGGTCTTCCATGACGAGAAATAAAATGTCTCAATGGTTGGAAAAAAGGCTTTAGTTGTCAAATGTGTTATTAACTTCAGATGAATGGCTCAATAGACTGAACAAGTGTAAAGGACAATGTTAAGCCTTCTAACAATGTTTTAGGTAAAGGGGTCTGGCAAAAATGATATCCATGGTTTCAAAAATATCTGCGACATGTATTCTGCCTTTTGGCAAAATTCCTGGAGTTGCATGACATCTTTTTGCTTTAAATCTGTGACATTTCACACACTTTGTAATGCAGTATTGTATCATCTTTCAAGCCTTGAGGGTCAAATTGTTTTCTTGTAAATGAAATATCATCATAGAAGTACCAGCATAGCATTCATTGTCAGTAACTTAACTACTGCATGAACCCATGGCAAAATAACAAAAAATTTGAAGTTGTCAGTATCACTTAAATGTTCATGTAAGCTATCATGAGCTTTCATGGAGGCTGCATGCAATAGAATTGGTTTTAATTTTAGGACTTCCATTTCTGTTTACTGAATGACTAAAATGTTCTTTACCTCACTGACATGCCCTTTTACAGATGCTAATAATTAAGATGGTGATTTAGGCTAGATAGATATTTTCGAGAACTACAATAGGTCTGCGTATACCCTATGCATCACATTAACCAAATAAAGAATGCTGTTTTCCAAAAGTATACTTTTATTTACAGATCGCATTGCACACAGCTACTACTCGGTTTAATTTGAAACATAGTTTCAGTTCACACAGACAGTGCACACTTAGTTTACAAGGTAGAATTACAAAATGAACTTCACAAGTGCTACTTTTGTGGAACAAATTAACAACCTGTTTCTGAAATATTCATTGTTGGCTTGAATAACAAAGACCTTGGATGATAGAGACCTACTTAACAGAGGTTCTACAGTATTCTGTTTTATGTTATCTCTGGTCTGTTGTGCCATTCCAAAACTTAAGAAACAACAATTTTTGTGCCTAATTTTTATAAAATAAAAAAAGAACATGAAGTTAGCTTTACAGTGATAAATACATATTTGATAAAAATGATATTTTTTTTTTTTTTGAAAAAAAAAATGTTTGAGAAAAACATAATGATTGCTTTTATAAGAATAACTTTAGCTTAAATGTGCATGTGGTAGCGCCTTTCTTCCATTCATGTTGAGGGATTGCTGAGAACAAAGATCAACAGTTGTTAATTTCATTTAAAGATCCTAGAAAATGCCAAGAGGGCTGCATATCTGTTCATAAATAATCCAAAAGCACTTCAGAGGATTGAGGTCTGATGAAAATAGTAACTGAATTCTCTCACCTTTCTCTCTAAGAGATTAGAGCTTTTTAGCAAGGTTTAACATTTTGTCTGTTAGCAGAAACATGAACTATACTAACACTCAGCTATTTTTATTTTATTCCAAAGCAACCACATTTGCTTCATGCCTAAACTTTTTTGCCAGAATATAAATAGTGTGTTTTATTAAAATACAATATTAATGTATTATTTTTCTGTGTTCTATATTTTTGTCAGTTTTATTTCAGTAGAAGAAAGAAAATTGTTCCTTGACTTTTGAGATTTGTATTTAATTTTAAAATTATTATAAAAAATATTTCTTTGATAATTATTTTTGATGAACAAGATATATTTCATTGTTTTGGTAAATATTAAGTAGGCATTTGACTGATAATACTGTATTCTAATTTATAGATTAAAAGCAATAGAAGTTGGACTTCATAGACTGAATGAAGCTATACAGGCTGTATCAAATGTTGAAGTTCACCTGGCATCTGGGGACAATATGCCAGCAGAGTTAGGAGATTTACAGAAAGTGCACGATTCCTTATTAGTATGTCAATTTTTATCTTTTATTAAATTAGAATGCATATTTCCAAAATTTGTACTTTTTTAAAGCTAACTAAATTCTAAGCGTATGTATTGTAATGTATTTTGCAGTAATTGACAAAACAGATAACCTTCTTAGTAAAACATAAATTTTATTTTTACTTTACGGAGATAGATAATTTGTATACAAATCATAAGTGGCAAAATTTTCATACATCTACTAGCTGGTCAAACTTCAGAAATCCAATTTTTAAACAATTTCTTCTGTTGCTGAGCAACAGTTACATCATACAAATATGGCATTGCCACTTCAATAATCAATAGTTATTTGTTAAATAACAAGGTATCACGAGGGCTATTTTTTTTTCAACCTCTGATGGGCTATAAAAAAAAAAGACTGGTGAATATACAAAATGATTTTATTACCAAAAGTAATGTACAATACAGGTTATTTCTCTACATAATCACCTTGACGATTGAGGCATTTGTCATATCTATGAACAAGCTTTGCAATACCCTCTTCATAAAATGTTCCTGCCAGTGATTGGAAGTGAATTGTGACGGTTTCTTTCAGCTCCCTGTCATTTTGGAAGTGCTTCCCGCCAAGCCACTGCTTCAGTTCAGGGAACAGATGAAAGTCACTCGGCACTAGGTCATATGGTGGATGTTCGAAAATGTCCCATTGAAATTGCTGAAGGAGCCGTTGGGTTATACGAGCGCTGTGAGGACGGGCATTGTCGTGAATCATGCTTCTTCGTTTGTTTTGAATAGCTCTCCTTAAGCATTGCAAAGTTTCACAGTATGAATCTGCAAGGCTGCATAAACTCCACAAGCAACACACCTTTTTGGTTCCAAAAAACAGTTGCCATAACCTTATGGTTGTCAAAGGTTCGTCTGAATTTTGTGGGTCTCTTTGGAGAGTTTGTAGTGACAGACTTGCGTCCTTGACCCCTTCATCATGCACATCAGTTCGGCCATCTTTAAACTTTCGGCACCATTCACGAACAACACCATCACTCATAAAGCTATTTCCATACACTCAACTCATTCTTCGATGAATTTCCGCTGCGCTGTTCCCTTCTGCCTGCAAGGAACAAATAACAGCTCTCAATTAACACTTGGCAGGGGAATCAGTAGCGACAGCCATGTTTACGTGACTGCAACTCAATAGAAAATGGCGTGTTAAATACGCCAGTGACAGAGCGTGTGGAGGGGGAGATGCGCAGTCGCCTACTATGCACACCAACCAGCTGCCGCATACCTGGCCATCATACTGTGCGATCGGAGGTTGAAAAAAAACAACACAACCTGCGTACAACCTCTCCCCCCCTCCAGGCAATAATTAATATTTTTATAAATTAAAGTTTACAATTTTTTTTTCGAAACAACAATATCAGCACAATACAGAATACAGCAAATAACATAATAACATATACTGAGGATAAGAGAAAAGAAAAAAATATTTTTTTATCTATACAGAGAAACAAATTATTTAATCAGGCGAGGGAGTACGACTTAATGCGTCTACATTTTTATGATTTTTACCACTTTGATGAACGACCGTGTAATTAGTGTTGTAGTACTAGTGCCCATCTCATAAGTCGTGGATGCAGACTCACATTATTTTTTAGCCAAACTAGGGGATTATGATCGGTCATGATAAGGAATTTAGTATGCCCGTCTAAATAAGATTGAAGTTTCTTTACAGCAAATATTATGGCGGCACATTCCTTTTCTGTGGTTGAGTACTTTTTTTCAGTTTCTGTAACCTTCTTGAGGTATAATACTGGATGTTCATTGTCTCGTTCATCTTTTTGAGCTAAAATGACACCCATACCAGAGTCTGAAACATCAATTTTCAAAATAAACTCCTTATTGAAATCAGGTGAGTGTGACAGAGTTTTGTGGCAGTTTTGCTTCTTCAACAACTCGCTCTTGTCTGTTTAGTTTCTTTAAAAACTTCTCCTTGACTTGCATCTCAACTCCAGAACTTGGCAATTCATCTAAAGCTTTTAACTGAGAATCATTTAATTATGTCAGTTCTTTCTTTTCAGATAGTTTTTGCCCTTTGCGAGATGAACCTTTGTTCTTATCTGCTACTTACACTCTCATTGAATGTGGCCACTTTGAGTATCCTTTCTCATGTTTGTGCCTCTTTGCTGAGTTTTATGATGCATGCATAGATTCTGAACGTATTTTTTAATTTCTTAGCTTTAGAAGCACCTTCATGAGTTCTTTTATCAGAAGTTCTTTGATCTGCTGTAAACAAACTGTCAAACACATCTTTGCTTTTTGGGGAATAGGGAGCCGGGGGAACTTGTAGGGGAATAATCCCTCACACTATCCATAGAAGATGAATCACCAAGCAAATAAGGTGAGTCAACTTCCATATTAATAACTTCAGTTTTCTCATCAGTAGATGAACGCTTAGATAATTTGATTTCTGTGAAGCATTGACAGAAGCTTGACTCTTATTAGGGTGAGTATTGACCAAATTACCCTGAGTTTTAATACTATTTATTTGTTTCGTTCTGCATCAAAGTTGTGTAGTTCTGCATTTGATCCCTATATTTTTCAGGAATAACAATTAATTCCCTTTCATTTCCATTTTTATCTAATTTCTTTTTCATCAACAGCCCGTTCTCCTTTACTTTGAAATCATTTTTGAAATTTTTGCTAAGCAATGAGGCTAGATCTCTGCTTTGATGCTGTGATTAAATTAATTCCTTTGAATTAACATTAATTATTTTCTTAATTTCTTTGTCTTCATCATCAGTTTGCGGTAAAATATCTTCATCAGTCTCAATAACAGACAGTTCTTTTTTCCCCATTTCAGTGTCTTTATTCTGATCTCCTTCACAAGATGGTTTTACTTGAGATCATGTCAAAACCACATTTATCTTTTCTAAATTTAAGAATTGTTTATCTTTGAACTACTGAGCAGTTTTGTTACCCAATATATATCTGCCAGGATCATTTGTAACAACAGCTGCCTTTGTCTTTATATGACCAAGTTCACAATTAATTTCAACTTCAGCTAACGGTAGACATACTAAATGGGCATTTAAAAGATATTGTACCCAGACATGTTCTCCAGTTGCGTTATCTATGTATTTTCGAGAAATAACATGTACTGTGGCTCCTGTGTCTCGAAGAATAGGCATTTCGAACCCATTAACTAAACCGTTAATTGTATACATCTTTAACAAATCATTATTTGAAAATACACAATTTACCTTTTCATTTGGTTTTAAGTGAGGGCACTGAGGCTTAAAATGTTCATATGACCCACACTTGAAACAACGTAGTCGATATCTTTTGTCATATAAATTTTCTTGGTTCTTGTTTTCAAATTGACTTCTTTGTCGGTGATCTTTCTGGTATTTTGAATCATCCCATTTATCAGAATGCTTAAAATGAGACGGGTGCTCTGTTTTTTTCACAAAATTATCATAATGAGGTTTAAATGATCCTTTGTTAATTTTGTCAGTCTGATTGGCAGAAAATTTCAGTTTTATTGTTTTTCTCACATCTTCAAAATCTTCAATTTTCTTAACCATTTCAGTAGGTGAAATGATGGTTGTTCATTGATCCATAAAATGTTCTTTGAAATCAGGAGAAGTACGCTTTTTAATTTGATCAACCAGCATGAGATCTTTTAGCTCTTCAAAAGTTTTAATGTTTAATTCGTTAAGCCATCCTTCTAAATAATTCTTCAATTCATTGTAGAAATCATACAAAGTACTTTCAATAGATTTTTGGTGTTTATTAAATAATTGTCGAAATTTTTCTGCATTCAATTTAAATCATTTTAACAGTAAAATTTTTACATATTCATACTTTTTCGCATCTCTTCTGGTTCTCTAGCAATAAGCTTGTCAGGGGAGGCAGCAATGAAATCAGTTGAGTCACTTGATTTTCAGCAGGTATATTCGTAATTTTAGCTTGACCCTCAAATAACACCAGAAATAAACTTATTTCATCTTCTTTAGGGTAGAAACATGGCATGAGATCGTGAATTCTGATTTTTAAAGCTGCTCAGGTAACTGCGTAGTTTCTACTGGCTGTGCTGTTGCAGCCATTGCTTCCATCTGAAGTTTCTGTAGCTCAAAAGCTCTGATTCGCTCTTTTCTTTCTTCTTTATCGCGTTCATTTCCCCTTTCTTCTCTTTCGCATTCTTCCTTTCTTTCTCTTTCTTCTCTAATTGCAGCCAGTAGTTCTCCAGTAAACTTCTCATCATAACCGGGGCTTTCAGTAATCAATTTATGCAACTGAGCAATCTTAAATTCAGGTTTCATGGTTAAACCTAACTCTTCTGCCAGTACTTTTAAATCCTGTTTTTTACTCCTGGCTAAGAATGACGTGTTGAGCAAGTTACCTTTAATAGGCTTTCTTTTAAAATTGAATCTAAAAGATCATACTTGTATTGAAAACGTATAATTTATGCAATGCTTAACTTGTCAAATACGAAATTCGTTCTAACCAATTGGAAAGAATTATTTAAACAACTTTGCCAGGCTGGCACAAAATAATATAATACTACGTCGGGTTGACGTTTTAATTCACTATTCACAAGCCTCCTTAGCTATTGCTCTATAAACACCTTTGCCAGTTAGGCAATACAATGGAATTTTACCCACGTCATTTTAACGATTTTACTATCTATCTCCGCGCCTGGTTGGCGATAACAAAAGCAATTTTTGACAGTTTGGTAGTACACTTTTTACAATATACAATCTGTAATACATTGGGATGACGTTACTATCTACCACACGCCTGGATGACGAGAACTAAGACTTTTACCAATTCTACAGTATAATCAAATCACACTACGTCAATTTGACGTTATTACTTATTTTCCATGCGCCTGCTTGGCAACAAATTCAAAAACTCAGTTAGCAGTTCTTTTTCTTTTATAAATGCCGGGATGGCTTACACATATCAATTATCAATGTAAAAATTCAATACAAATAAAAGTAAAGCATAAATAATAATTTTAAAATACTTCTTTACCACAAATATCAATTATAAATTTAAGCTGAATATTTTTAGTGTCAGTTATTTTAAACAAAATCTTGCACGAT